GAGATGGTCCTTTTTATACAAAGTGCTTGAGAAGTTTAATTTTGATAAATCTATAATTGATATTATCTCAGAGTTATACAACAAACCAACAGCTAAAATCAAAATCAATGGGGACCTCACCGAATCATTTATACTGGAACGAGGGACACGACAGGGTTGCTGCATTTCACCGCTGCTTTTTGCTTTGTTTATAGAACCATTAAATCAGTGGATTAGGCAGAGTCAGCATATAACAGGAGTACGAACGCAAGGAGGGGAACAGAAATTAGCATTATTTGCTGACGACTTACTTTTAACATTAACTTGTCCCTCACAGGCACTCCCCCATCTCATGGAAGCACTATCACAGTATGGTTCTTTATCCGGATATAAGGTCAATATAAATAAAACGCAGGTATTAACTTTAAATTATGAACCACCAGTCGAAATCAAGAATCGTTATGAATGGAAATGGGATGCAGATAGCATTAGGTATTTAGGGGTGGTAATACATCGTGACTTCACCAAAATGTTCAATGCCAACTATGCCCCTCTAAATGAATCCATAAAATCAGATATACAAAGATGGAACACTATTCCATTTCTGGACCTACACTCCAGGATTGAATCAATCAGATTAAATATTCTTCCCCGACTGCTGTATTTGTTTCAGTCTCTACCGGTTACCATACCACAAAAACAGTTTGCGGTATGGGATAGAACATTGTCAAAATATATCTGGAATGGGAAAAAAGCTCGAGTTAAATATAAAACGCTTCAATTAAAGAAAGAAAAGGGAGGTCGTGGGCTTCCCTGTCTACGAGAATATTATTGTGCAGCTCAGTTAAAACCGCTGATTTGTCTCTGTTGTCCAAACTACACCGCCGGATGGAAAGATGTTGAAGGAACAATAGTAAAAGAAATACCAGTTTCAGCTTTAATACCGGACATAAAATTGCAGAATAAAATACATATGGCAGATAAACCTATACTACAAATAATGATATCAGCTTGGAAAGAAGTAATATAAATTGGTGGTTTGGAAAATGCCTCTAAGGTTTTAAGATGGTGTGCATATGATTCAGATTTTACTCCAAATCAATATGATAATAGATTCAAAAACTGGATTTCAAAAGGTATAACCAATTATTATTCATTTGTCCATAAAGGTGCATTTCATAGTTTTGAATCTTTAAGGAGTAAACATGACTTGGGATCTGATGATTTTTTTAGATATCTACAGATCAGAAATTATTTTAATCAAAACTTAAAAGTGAACCTAAACAAATTACAATTTGTAGAAACATTCTTATTACTAACCAAATCTGAAGTGCAAAGTAAAATTATTTCTAAATTATATAACAGCATCCGGCGGTGTAAAAACGACAGCACTCTGTATATTAAAGTGAAGTGGGAAAAGGAGGGTAAATTGACAATTACAGAGAAGTGTTGGGCTCACGCATGCAAGATACAGTGGGCTACCACTGGGTCTAATGTTTGGCATGAATTTTGCTGGAAAAGCATCATGAGATTTTTCATTACCCCTGCTCAACAAAGATATCGAGGAATTGGTGATAAATGTTGGAGATGTGGGGGAGATGGAGCTAACCATTTCCACATCTTTTAGGACTGTAAAGATATTCGCCAGTATTGGTCTCTAATCCATGATCATTTACAAAATGTTTTTTCATTTGTTTTTCCTTCAACTTTTGAGACCATGTTTTTGTGCAATGCACCAGTGGATAAACTGAATTCCAACGACAGAAGACTCCAGTATATTCTTCTGGCCGCAAGTAAAAAGCCTCTTACGAGAAGATGGCTTAAGCCTGAACCACCAACGATAGAAGACTGGATACATTCTGTACAAGAGATCTATACGATGGAAAAAGTGTCATTTTCTCTTAAACTTCAGAGGGATACCTTCTACGGAATATGGTCTAAATGGACAGACTATGTTAAGCATATGAGGTGTGATTTTGTGTATGATGTTACAACCCTGAGTTCTACATAAACCTACCTGCCCTGCTGCCTCCTAACCCTAGTTTTTTTTTTTGTTTGTTTGTTTGTTTGTTTGTTTGTTTGTTGTTTTGTTTTTGGGGGGTTGTTTTTGTTTGTTTTTGTTTTTTTCTTCTTTTCTTTTCTCTTCTTTTTCCGTCTTCTTTATTTTTCAATTATAAGTTAAAATGTGACAGCAAAGAAAATGTAAAAAGGCAAATTACTGTTATGTTCAACAGCTGTCCCAATAAAAGAGATAATAATAAAAAAAAATATTGTAGTTTCTTATCATTTAGGGATTAATTTTACGTTTTTACAAGACACAAAATAAGTAGGAAACAACCAAACTCCGGTAAGCACAATAAACACACTACTTTAGTAGCAAATAAAATTGTGTCTCTCCGCGCAACCATGTGCCTCCCAGACACTCAGACTCCCTCCTCTCACCTGTAGGGCTCCACACTTCATCTTGGGGTGCTGGCACAGTGGTTTCCCCTCTTCACTCCAGGCCTCATAGTCCATCTCCTGTCCGTCCACCCACAGCCAGTCTCTGGACAAGAAGCGCAAGCCAATCCAGACGTTATTAGTTGTGTTATGTTTCCTCAGCTCTCTTTGGATCAGCATCGTCTCAGTCTCTGATGCCACACTGGCCAGGTCATTGTGGTGCTCCCTGCAGTACTCCAGAGCTTCCTCCCAAGTCTTTTCCTCCCCGACCACTATTGCTCTGTAGCAGAAGAAGGTTCTTGGATAGCTATATACACTGTGCCATCCATTATTGTCAATACTGCCATAATTTCTGCCTGTTTCATTTCGTGGTTCACCTGATCCCCAGGAAAACCTGGTCACCTCCCCTCCTCCTGACCACATCCACTTGTTTGTGTATGTGGAGCTCCTTTCCAGTCCAATTAGGATGTAGCCAATGTTATTCTTGATCTTCCTAAGTTCTGCAATATCACGTTCGTTATTGACAGGGGCCAGGTCTGTGTAGTACTGCCGGCAGTAAGATAAAGATGCATCCCAATACCACATCTTGTCAACGTGAACATACTTGCTCAAAGTTCCAGATGAGCTCAGCAGGAGCAGGATGCAGGTGCAGATTGGATGCATCGCTCTCTTGATTTCAAACGGGTTTTGAAACTGTATGTGCGTGAATTGACTTTTTATGCTTGCTCATGAGAAAATATTTGCATAGAGCGGCTCTTTCATTCTCTGAATCACACCCACACAACCATATACACTGGTCTTAGTCTAAGTAATTCCTTTCCAGTCCTGACCAGATACCGTCATTAGGTGAGGTCTATCTAACACGGCAACTCAAAACTTCACCCCAAGTCTTTTTGTCCTCAGTATAAACATACTTGAAAAAACTTCAACACATTCTCATTTGAGAAATACACTGAGCTACTCCTTGCCCCCAGTGCATTCATCCAATGCAAATCAATTTAGAACTTTATTTATAATGTTTGTGCAATAGAGGGGCAGATTTACAAATTTAGAAGGAAATCAAAAAATTGTTCCCTCACTTTATCCATGTAAATGTAGAGACGAGCTAGATATAGTCAATTTACCGCAAAAAAAAAAAAAAAAAAAAAAAATCATTTGCATGGGAGTGATGAGCTTACAGGAACTATGTGAAAACCTGCAATTTCTGCTCATTTGTGTTTTTGTTAACCAAATCAGCATAAATCAGCACTTTAGAATTACATAATTCTAATAATACATTTACAGTACTATCCTGGGGTTCCCATTGTCTTCACTGTATTACAGACACTCTATAAATTTGACTATGAATGATTAACATGATTTCTTAAAATAATAATATAAAAGATAGAATTAGAAGGTCCATTACTTGGCATTTGTAGGAAAATGTTTGCAGATCAAAATGTAAAGTCACTGCCTGGGTGTGTTTGGATGAATGACAGAACAGAGCTGTCAAGGTGTGCTGTGGCAGCCAGGATGAAGGACCCAAACACAGGACTCGAAGTTTCTTATGCTCAAATTTCATACCAAATCTTGGATTTCCAGCAGCAACCCATCTTCCCTGCACTCAGTACGTAATTCAGAGGCATATTCTGACCAACTTGGCAGTGACACATGACTCACTGACCTTTTTTATTATTATTATTAGTCATTATTCAAGCAGCTCACGATCTTCTGGTACATCATAAATACTTCATTACTGTGCTCTATATGATCAAAATTAGAATTATCACACAAAAAAACATCCCTTTGTACATTAATATTGCTCAAACTTAGATTTCAGGCAGTACAACTTACTGACGGATAGATGTCAGAAACTGTCGAAGCAAACTTGCCTTTATTTCTACATTCTCAGAATTTAGTTCCATATAAACAGGAATGCGATCAGTTGTTGCCAAAGGATACAAAATCTCAACTTTAAGTAAGGATTCATGTGCATCAGCAGTGGATCCCAGGGCTATGGTCAAAGCTTGTGTGCACCACAGGCAGGGATCCTCACAAGGCTGTTCAACTTCTCCCTGACTCATGCCACAGTTCCCACCTGTCTGAAGGCCTCCACCATCATTTGTATCTCCAAAAAGACTAGTGGAGACAGCCTCAATGACTACACACCTGTAGCCCTCACATCTGTCATCATGAAGTATTTCAAGTGGATATTGTCTCTTCACTAATTTCATTAAAGGTACTGTTGAGACACTTATTTGGGGAAGTTGTTACACCACTCTAAATAGATTTTGAGGCAAAACAGGTTTTGTTTGGCTCTACATGGAACAAACAAATTAGATTTTGGGATGTATTGAATAAACTAGAGGAAACAAAATTTAGATCACTTCATAATACTTGCTTGTAATTAGATTTTCACACATTGAAATATTGATTTAATTTGATTTTTTAAATGTATTTTTTATTGTACTTTGAGGGTTAATAGCACAAAATTGTACAATTGTATAATTGTGTAGTGCAGAGATTTATGTGATTTCAGGTTATGTACTGAAACTTGTGATTTAATAATAACATGACCGAACCCCGCCTGGCTCCTCCTGTCCACTCAGGTCAGTCTCTTGCTTGGAAAACATATTCCCCTTGATAGGAAATGTTTTAATTACTGATTTTCAGTTGACCTCTTGTGTAATTTGTGATACCCCAGTCTTTCCTTCATGTTCCTCATCTTCACCAATGCCCTCTTGATAGCCACCCTTCCACTAAGAAAACATGCAAAAATATTATTTTATGTCCGTCAGCTTATCTTTGGTGTTCTTCTAATGACAGCGGAAGAGGAAGTTGAAGACTTTACTTGTTAGGTACATATTAGGTAAATCTCTCTTTATGCTTGTATTTCTGAATCTCGCTCTCCTCCAGGACTGGGCAAAACTCCTTTGTCAGTGTTGGAACTGAAACCTTATCAGGAGGATTGGGTAAGTTTACCAGCATCAGATATCCTCAGCTTAATTTATTCCATATCGGTTTAAAGAAGTGAAAAGACATTTCAGGATTAAAGATTTCAAATCATTCATAAGTAGATTATTTTAAAAAGCTTTAAATGTTCATTCATTCTCTGCCACTTATCCTTTTCAGGTTCATGGGGAGGCTGGAGCCTATCCCAGGTGTTTTAGGATGAGAGGCAGGGTACACCCTGGACGGTTCGCCAGTCTGTCGCAGGGCTAGCACATAGACACAGACAACCATTCGCACACATTGACACCTATGGGCAGAGTTTCCAACTAACCTATCCCCACTAACTGCATGTCTTTGGACTGTGGGAGAAAGCTAGAGTACCTGAAGTGAACCCACGCAAACACAGGGAGAACATGCAAACTCCACACAGAAAGACCCCAGCCTGATAGTGGAATTGAACTCAGGACCTTCTTGCTATGAGGTAACAGCACTAACCACCATGCCTAAACATATCCTAGCTAAATAGCAGCTATTGAACCTTTACTGAATCCTTCCAGTGCAGTGTTCTGTGTAAAGAACTGAAAGAACATTTCAGGATTAAAGATTTTAAATAATTCCTGGCTAGATCCTTAACAAGCTATAAATGAAATTATGTTCAGTATATGCGAATCACTGGTGTATGACAAGACATTGCAGACATATAATTAATCTTGGGTCTGAACATTTTAGTCTGTGGTGCCCTCTGGTGCTCAGAATTGTTCCTGGAAACACGTCCTCTCAAATCTAACCTCAAGAATAAAACCTCTTAGCACTTGCTTTGGACACAAATGAGCCTGCTTTGGGGCTTATTTAGAGTATTAGCATCCAAACTGGATCCTTACATTCACTGATAGTGGTCCTCTGATGATTCCACGGACCTGTTTGAAAACTAAGGGGGTCATGCTTTCCAAACCTTCATTCCCTCTGTACGTACCATTGACTTTGTGGCTTCTTTTAAAAAACAGCTGATGTGGATCTAAACCAGTGCGAGATGAAGTGTAGTGGGCAGCTGTGCATGTGAGAAATGTGGAGTCCGTTGGCTGAGGTGGAAAATGGCAAAGTATGAATTTGTTTTTGAATGTATTTTTCTGAAAACACTTCTAATCCATCTTCAATAATAGTGAAACCTGCATTTTAGCAGGTTTCACTATTATCTTGTGGACCTTTGCCTTCACTCTTGCCACTGTTCTTGTGTCACAAATTATTCCTGGCACTTGTTTCCACCCACTCAACCCTGCCTCCACTCTCTTCTTCCATTCTCTTCAAATTTCATTTGACCAGATTCCACTAAATGTAACACTTTACATTGTACTTGTGTAAGAAAATGTCATGGAAATTTGAAATTAAATTAGAAATTAAAGTCAGTATTTTGGGCAGATAATCTTTTATTTTATTTTATTATTATTATTAATTTATTTATTTATTTATTTTGAAAGCTAGAGAGAGAGAGAGAAAGAGAGAGAGAGAGAGAGAGAGAGAGAGAGAGAGAGAGAGAGAGAGAGAGAGACTTTGCCCACAAGATGGAGCCACTGATTCATGCTGGGACTCTTTCTTCAAGGAGTCACATGGATTTCCTTATCAGCATCTGTTCTCAGTAATGTATCTGTTGATAACACACTGGAAATGAGCAAGCACTTTCCCAGTGACCTGGACCTATGCACTGTTGCATGCACGATGTCCCAAAATGCACCTACTTCCTCTAATTTCATGCTGAGTCCTACCCATTGCTGACCAACCCATTGGATTTGTGAAATTTTGTTTTTGTTGGTTTGTCTGGTGTTTCTATTTATTTATGTTTCTCTTTTTCCTTTGTTATGTATTTTATTTTGGACCATAGCATTACAATGTTTGGTTGCTGTCTAGTCACCACCTGCCTTACTTCTTACACGCCAGTTAGTTGTGCTTTCAGCCGATTTTCTTTTTTCCTGTCAGTGAGTCTCCTCTGTGTGCATGTACCTCCAGTTGGTGATTGCCCACTGGCCAGTCTTTTTCCTGTTCAACTTTCTCATGTATGGACTCTGCCTCCTGCCTGCCATTTACTGGGTTTGCTTGCTTTTATGTTTCTGAATTAAAGTTTTAGACTTTACTTTCTGGGATGTTGATATGTTTGACAATGGAAATTGTATAACAGCAGAA